TTTAGATTGTTTTGTCACCATTAAAAATGTTTAAAATCATATGATATTTTGGGTACTATAATTTTAAATTACCTCTGTGGGTACTTACATATATCAGGGGCATAAATGTCCATCTTTTTAACAAAAGAGATTGTCATGATGTTAGTACATTGTCATGATGAGAAAGAAGCATCATTGTAAAACTTCAATTGTCTGGTTAGATGTTCTAAATATTTGCCCCATTATTGCCACACATTTTTTATAAACTTCTAATACTTGTCCTAGTACTCTCTCTTGAACTCACAAAAAAAATGATATCTACAACAAGAATAAGAACAAAATGCTTTAATATTTTTTACTGAAAATACTCAAATTAACAAAAAGATAACAGTTGTGTTCTACCTTTCAATGTGCTAATCCCTCACAGTAAAGATTCTGCACCTCCGCTGCACCAACTAATAACATTTTCAACCTAGATTAACAAATAATAGTAATAGGGGCTGCTTTCTGTTTTTACCTTGTGCACCAATAAAAAAATAACAGGTGATAAAAAAAAATAACACGAACAGGGGAAAATAAACAAGGGACGAGAGAGGTTTAAAAATAACATGGGACATTTTTCAACCTAGTTTAAAAAAATAATAGTAGCAGGGTTGCATTCAGTTTTCACCTTGCGCAGCATTAAAAATAACAGAACAGGGGAAAGATAACAGGGGACAAGAGAGGTTTAAAAAAGATCTTGGCTAAGTAATTACTTCTGAAATAAACATAATACTAGATTGAAAACAATAAAATAATCAATCTTATTTTTATACTAGAAAGGAAAGACACCTAATTTGATACAAAAACTTTAATTTTTTTCCCCAAAATACCCGTAAGATTAAAACTATCCCATAATTATGATCTATTAAAACATTGTAAAGTTAATTGCTAATATAAGCTTCAGTTATTAAAACACCGTATAGTATACCATTAGTTTTTGGTCTGATAAATTGATATATAAGCTTCAGTTAAAAAAAAATAAAAAAGACAAAAAGCATTATTCACTCTATGGGATCGATTCTCAAACATGTATTTATCATATGCATTTAATCAAACACCATATATCCATTTATAGAGCACCAAATATCCAATTTTTATGATTAAGGGTCGTAAGTAATTTAGACTTTTCTGTAGAATTTCCCACATTAATGTTTGTTTTTGTCTCTTTCTTCTTCTGTATCTCCTTTTTGGTTACTTTTAGTTCAACAAATTAACATTAAGATAAGATGGACAAGATTTGGATTAAAATCAAGAATAAGGTCGATCCGAAGTTCATGAAAGGAGCAATTGGTTTTGCGGAGATGGCTAAGGGATATGTTGATAGCGAAGGTCTTACACATTGTCCGTGCAATAACTGTCTGAATGTAATAAAGCAGTTACCTGATCTTGTTGGTGATCACATCATACATCATGGCTTTCAACAATCGTATGTAAAATGGATATTTCATGGGGAAAGTAGTTGTGAACATGAAACAAACGATGACCTTGATGAAACAGACAATGAATCAAATGACGGGGTCCACGATTTACTTGGTGATGCATTTAATGTAGGATATGAAACCGAAGGAGGAGATGGAAACAATGAGTTCGATTCTTCTAATCGATCTAGCAATCCCCATGTGGACAAGTTATTTGCTGATATGGAGAAACCCTTATTTCCGGGATGTGATACTTTCTCGGTACTGGGCTTTATATTACGATTGATGCACGCGAAAGTAACCTGTAAAATGACAAATGTGTCCATGGATATGATACTGAAGTTATTGAGTGAGGCATTCAAGGACACAATAATCCCTAAAACCCACTACGAGGTAAAAAAGTATTTGCGTACTCTTGGACTTGGATACGAATCAATCCATGCTTGCAAGCACGACTGTGCATTGTTTTGGAAGGAAAATTCGGAATTACAATCATGTCCAGTTTGTGGCGCTAGTCGATGGCTAGACGATCAAACGAATCAAAAGAAGATACCAGCAAAAGTCTTGCGTTACTTTCCCATCACAAGCAGACTGAAGCGGTTATATGCTTGTAGGTATACTGCAAAGAACATGCAGTGGCACGCTCACAACAAATCTAAAGAAGGAGTTCTTAGGCATCCAGCAGATGGAAAAGCATGGAAGCACTTCGATAGAATCTATCCAGATTTTGCAAACGAACCTAGAAATGTACGCCTAGGGCTTGCAAGTGATGGTTTCAACCCTTTTGGGACGATGAATACTTCATATAGTATGTGGCTTGTTGTGCTTATACCGTACAATATGCCTCCGTGGAAGTCTATGAATGATGCCTCATTTATGATGTCTTTGTTGATTCCAGGCAAAGATTCACCTGGAAAGGACATTGATGTATATTTACGTCCATTGGTAGATGAGTTGAAAGTTCTATGGGAGAATGGTGTCGAAACATTTGATTCTGAATCTCGATGTACATTCAACATGCGTGCAGCAGTTATTTGGACGATAAATGATTTTCCTGCATATGGTTACCTGTCTGGATGGAGCACGAGTGGGTACATGGCATGCCCAATATGCAATGAAGATACACCAAGTACTCGTTTACGAAATAAAATAGGATATGTAGGTCATAGGTGATTTCTTCCCGGGATCATCCTTGGAGGAATGCACGAGATTTTAATGGGAAAAAAGAGGACAAGCTTGCACCTAAACATATCAGTGGAGAAGATTGCTTACGTCAACTAGAACACGTCCCTCAATGTCCACATGGAAAAAACCAGTCTTACACCGGCCAAAAACGTAAAAGGGGCATAAAAGAGTTAAATTGGACAAAAAAAAGCATATTCTTTGAACTACCATACTGGTGCAAGTTGTTAATACGTCATAACATTGATGTCATGCATGTTGAAAAAAATGTTTTTGAGAACATTTTGGGAACTTTATTATGCATAGAAAAGAAGACAAAAGACACTGATAATGCTCGCCGTGATTTGCAGGATATGAAAATACGCAAGCATCTTCACTTAGTGAAGAAAAATGATCGTTGGATTAAACCGCCAGCTCCATATGTTTTAAATCGAAAAGAGAGACACCAATTTTGTAGTACAGTTAAGTCTGTTCGTTTTCCAGATGGATACGCCTCAAACTTGGCTAAAAAAGTTATTCTCGAGCAATGTAAGATATATGGACTTAAATCTCATGAATGTCATGTCTTACTGCAACGTGTACTCCCTATCGCTATTCGTGGGCTTTTGAATAAGCCAATACGTGATACGTTGGTAGAGTTTTCTCGGTTTTTCAAGATTATAACTTCAGTCACATTACATGTGGGAGAGTTAGAAACGCTGCAAACAGAGATAGTTAAGATTCTTTGCAAGCTGGAACGCATATTTCCTCCCTCATTTTTTACGGTTATGATGCACTTATGCGTTCATCTACCTCAAGAGGCTATTTTAGGAGGACCCGTACAATCAAGGTGGATGTATCCGGTTGAAAGATATCTTGGCCATTTAAAGAAATATCTTAGAAACAAAGCAAGACCTGAAGGTTCAATTGCCGAAGGTTATGTTGTAGAAGAAGCTCTAACATTCTGCTCACACTATTTACAAGGTGTTGATTCAAAACTAGAGAAGCGTGGTAGAAATGATGATGAACGAGTTAATGATGTTCGAGACTATAAATTGGATATTTTCAAATTGAATGGCCGAGGCATTGGGAAGCGACAAACTGTTAGGCTTTCGACAAACAGTGGTTTATCTTAAGTAATTGTGCAGAAGTTGAACCTTACATTGAGTTAGTTTATTTAACCTTTCATAGTGAATTCAATTTTTATTATCTCAAGGTATTTAAGGCTTATTTTCACCTGACAGGGAACACTTACAACACCTAAAAAGAGAACATCCAAGATCGTTAAATTTTAGCGAATTACAACAATCTTCATTTCCAAGTTGGTTTTCTTTACGGGTAATGTTACTATAATAATAAATTATATCATTTTATCATGTAGAAGCATTCAACCAACTCATACTTTTCTCAAAACGGTGAACAGATGTGGAAAATGTATGAGCAAAATTCATCCGCAGTTGATGAAGAGTTGTATGCATTATCGCATGGCCCAGATGATTGAGTTACAACACATGGCGGATACATAGTAAATGGAGTTAAATTTTTTGTTAAGTCACGAGATGAACATAGGAAGACTCAGAATTGTGGAGTTACAGCCCTAGGAATTCACGATGGCGTTGAAGAGGATTATTATGGATATGTTGATGAAGTCCTTGAATTTTCATTCATTAAAGGATATCGAGTTATTTTATTTAAATGTATTTGGTTCGATACCGACCGCAGAAAGAAGCATGTGATGTTTGAGCCTCATTTCATCTCTGTAGATACAACCAAACAAGCTTATAAGGAAGATCCGTTTGTCTTAGCAAATCAAGCAAAACAAGTGTTCTATATAAATGATCCTGCACGTGCCTCGAGCTGGAAAATCATAGAAAGGAGCACACATAGACATTTATGGGACATACCAGAGAACAAGGATACATAAGATTTGTTTGAACATGTAGGAACACCGTCACAAACAACCCCATTTGAAGCATCTAATTGTGAAAATTTCGAGTTTCATCGAGAAGACGGCAAAGAAGAGTTTGTGGAAGTCGTTGATGATGATAGTTTTGAAGTTGATTTAGATGATTTTATCGATTATGATATTATCTCTAACAAAGTTATTGAAGAATTACCCGATGAATCAAACAAAGATTTAGATGATAGCAATGAAACAAATTTGGCACTATATGATGAGTCGGATGATGAATATGAATAAGTTTATTTTTAGTGTTTCTTTGTTGGTGTCTTTAATTTAGTATTTAACACTTTTTGACAATGGATATGAATAAATGTATTCTTTTTGTATGTTGTTGGTGTGTATTGTAATTTGTTAATTATTTAGAACTTTTTTGACAATGAATATCAATAATTTTACTCATGACTAACTTGTGTAAAAACCAAATTTTTGCAGGTAAAATGTGGATATTTCTTGTGTTGATGACGATTGCTAATCTCGGAGGTACGAAGCGTGTAACGAAAGAACCTCGACAAATTTCGGTTGTGTCAACTGGTGAAGAAAGTGGAAGTGAACTGGATCCAAAGTTGTGCATGCTTCGTACACGTAAACGTGTTATGACATCCGTTGCATCAATAGGTATAACCTTACATGTTAATTTCTGATTACATTTAACTGATTCATCCATAACGTGTTAAAGTTGAATTTGGTGACCAAAAGTTAAAGGGTTATAATGAGTGTAGGGGTTGTTTGGTAAATGTTAGTGTACGGGGCTGTTTGGTAAATCTTAGTGTATGGGACAGTTTGGTAATGAGTGTAGGGGATGTTTGCTAATGAGTGTAAGAGTTGTTTGGTAATTGTTAATGAAGGGGTTTTTTGGTAATTGTTAGTGTAAGGTTTGTATTTTTTTTACTGTCGTAACAGACGTAATCGGTCATAACTAATGATTAAATCTCTGTAGGAGCAACTGTTGCGAGAGAAAATACTCGATCAACTTCATTTCAGCCTGCCCAAGAAGAAAGTGTCTCTAGAACAACTTTTAAAACAACTGAACGCCCTCTTTCTCAAAATATGGAATCTTTTCCAAACTCAGGTGATACAGGTAACTACATTTGTGTTTAATATTTTGAGTAATAGTAAATTATATAAATGGTACTTGTCTTATATTAGATTATAGTATTGGGCCATTGTGTAATAGTAAATTATAACCCGGTCTTTTTGTAATAGTATATAAATGACATAAATTATATACTACATAATATTAAATTACTTCAATTGTACATGTGTTAATTAATGTGAAAATAGCAACAAGACAAAGTGGTTCCACCGAAGATACTCAAAGATTTTCAATACCGTTAGTTGGTGAAGGAAATGTCTCTAACACGACTGATAACATGGAATCCCAAACTGAGCACTCTCATGCTCCAAGTAAGTAGTATGGATTTTATTATTTTATTTATAACATTACATATTAAGAACAATATATATTGTGTAGATCAACGATGGAGGCGATGCCCTAATATTAATAAAAAGGCTTCGCATATTTTGGACAAGATTGTGGAGAATCAACCAGATGCACGGATTACATTGAGAAAAGATACATATACTAAGAAATTCGTTGGGGATTCAGCAGTATATTTTGCAACGGAGGTTGGAATTGTGATGCGAAAGTTTTTGTCCAATGGAATTCCATACATGGGAAAAGTACCGAAAGAAAATAAAGAAGAAATGATTGATAGATTACGTGTAAGTTATACTAGAGTTCGGACCAAAATTTCTTTTTAGCATTTTTTTTAATTCACTCATTTTTGAAATATGCATATGTCAGTCATATGAAGTAGATATGACCTGATTCTTTTTCAACACGTAATTTATTGTTTTTAGTTCATTTTAGACTGCACAAAGTTATATTTTTGTTAAATACTGAATCATCTACAAGTCCGGCAAGATAGCATATCTATGCTGTGTTTTTTTTTTTTTTAAATGTTTCGCTTCATATAATAAAGCAAATCCGGTTCGAGTTTCCGAACGTCCAGTTCTAAATCTCATCCCTAAAAGTTAAAATATGTACTAAATGCAGGCAAAATTTGAAATACTGCACACAGATATAGTTTTGATGGAATGTGTAGATGAGCAAATGCGAAGGCAATGGAAACGCACACGAAATACTTTGAAAGATTTTGGAAGAAAAATGGAAGAATGACCGATCCACAATTAGCACGATCTAAAATGAATCCAGATTGTCGTAGCAAAGAAGATTGGTCTCATTTGTGTGATTATTGGGAGACAGATAAAGCACAGGTAACTTTTTAGCTCTTTATACACATCTTTTACGTAATTAATTCTTATTTATATGTTAGTAACCATGTTTAATTTAAATTTTGTAGAAGTATGCAGATCAAATGAAAAATAATCGAGAAAAACTTGTGATTTCAAGTAGAGGAGGTTCTCGATCAATAGCAAATCACAAATTTAGCATGGTAACTAGCCAATTAGTTTATATTTGTATTAACATATTCATTGAACACCAATTATAAATAATTGTTCTTATGTAATTTTTATTATTGCATGCAGAAAAACAAAGAGACTCAATTGCCTCCCACCCCAATCGAATTATATCATAAGTTGCATTTTCATCCTACAAAGGAATGGCTAAATGATGAGACACGCATTCAATATGTAAGAATTATTTATCGAGTAATATTAATTTCCGTCTGTAATATATTGATATTGGTGTTATATATAAGTTATTATAATATGTTTTTATGTTGTTTTAGGAAAATATTCTCCAAATGAAAGAGGATGAATGTACCAAATTAGTTTATGCGGGAATAAGCATTACTCCAGAAATGGAATATGAAATAGAGAAAAAAGCCGTTAAAACCGTTTGTGCAAGACATAAAACATTACTATGGATGGGAGGCTTCAAGTGGACCTATTATGAGGAAAAAAGATCTACATATCTTATCAGCAGCGGAACCATCTCAATCAGCCTCAACGGATGAAATGGCTTTGAAAAAATAAAGTTACTGCACTCGAGGAAGAGGTTCGAGAAAACAAAGAAAAAGTGAAACAAAGTGAGGAGAAATGTGAAAAGATGCTTCAATTTATGATCTCGAAGTTCCCAGATATTCTCAAAACATATTATGCCGCCTGATAAAGAAGGATTTCGTGCATCTGATGACATGCCAAACATATCAGATGAAGAGTAATAGTCATGATCTTAAGTTAAAAGTTAGAACTTTTTCAGATATGGTATTACTATTGACTTATTGCTTAGACTTTTTTGTTTATTGTTTTAATTTGGAAATGATGTCTAGATTACAATACATTTTTCTATTTTCAGTATATTTTGTCTTTAACTCTAGCACTTACAAGTAGTTATTAATACTAAAATGATATTGCATATGAGTTTGATATCTTGTCACTAAAAAAAGGTTAGGGACTAAATGATATTTCATTTTAGACTGATATTCAGTCATTGAAAAAGCATGTTAGGGACTGAATGACATTGTATCAGAAACTAATATTCAGTTATTGAAAATTCATGTTAGGGACTGAATAGAATTGAATCTTAAACTGATATACAGTCACTAAAAAACCATGTTAGGGACTAAATGACATTGTATCCTAGACTAATAATCAGTCACTAAAAACCTAAGTTAGAGACTAAATGTCATTGTATCCGAAACTGATATGTAGTCCCTAAGAAACCTGTTCAGAGATTGATTGACATTATATCTGAGACTGGTATTCAGTCCTTGAAATATTAGGTTAGTGACTGAATAAAATTGTATTGAAGACTGATATTTAGTCATCGAAAAATCATATTACAGACTAAAGGACATTGTATCTGAGACTAATGTCCAGTCCCTAAAAATCTTATTAGAGACTAATGACATTGTATCCGAGACTGGTATTTAGTCCTTGAAATATCAGGTTAGGGATTGAATAACATTGTCTTTGAGACTCATATTCAGTCGTTGAAAAACAATATTGGATACTAAGCTAGGTAGTTTAGAAGACTGATATTCAGTCCCAAATGATATCAAAAGGGTCTGATAGGACACGAAATAAAGATTTCAATGAAAATATTACATACTGAATAATATATTATAAGGGGCTAATATTCAGTCTTTAAAAGATAGTATTATGGACTGATATTATGTCAAATTGGGGATTTGAATAAAACAAATTAGAGACTGAATATGATATTATCTAAGACTGATTTTTAGTGTTTGATACATTGATCAATTAGGGACTAATTTTTAGTCCCAAATACAAAAAAAATCGATTATCTAAGACTAGGTCTCGGGGACTAGCTGGGGACTAGCAAAATCAGTCCCTGATTCTCATCAGAGACTGATTATTGATCATCAGAGACTGATTATATCAGTCTTTGATACCCTTTTTTCTTGTAGTGACATTAACCTTTATATATTGTTTTCTGCAGCATTCCCCAAACGAATTGTTATAGCCTACTTATAAAGAGTGTGTTGCTTTGTGGTGGACTAAGAGTGCCCTGTGGATAGATGTTGCAGATTCTCCTGATATTTGAATAATGGTTATTTATTGTGCATGTTTTAAAAAATTTCCTAATCACCATGTTGTAACACCCTGTTCGGGATCATTCTGTGATTTAGGGCCATGGGCCGGAAGTCGATTGTGTAAGGGCTTTGTGTTGGGTAAGGCGTCTAAGCCCATAACTATAATTGGTATCTACTTGACCCGAGAGTAGCATGGCCCATTTGGGTTGCATATCACCAGGACAATTTAATAGGATGCACTTTTGAGAAGAGGTTATTTATGATTTGTTAATATATTATAAGTTCTAATATATTAATATGAAATCCTATGATTTAGTTAGTATTGATCAAGAATTAATTAGGAATTAATTTTGTGATCAAAAGAGACAAACTAAATATATGGGGATTAATTGGTAAATCATTCATTCTTATGGTGTGGGCTAATGATCCATGATTCTTTAGGTTGGGCTAAACCAATATTACAACCCATGGATGATCCATGGGGGTTTAAAACCTTGGAGCCTAAAGAATATGGAAAGTCACACATATTAGGGTTTACATGGTGTAACCCTAATCTTGCCACACTATATAAGAAGCCCTTAGCATCCAAAATGACACACTAGTGTTCTTGGAGATCATTGAGCCGATTTTGGTGCAAGAAATACTCTCTCAAAAGTCTCCTTTGTTCTAGGTGTGTTGTGATTCCATTTGAGGTGCAAAACTTGGGGCTCTAAGTTCTTAAAGGACAAACTCAAGAAGTTCTACAAGCTACAACAAAGAGGTAATTCTATAATTCTCTTTTATGTTGATTATGTCATTTGCATGCTAGTTGTAGGCTTAATGCTTTGGAAACAATATTGCATGTATAATTAGAGAAAACATAGATCCAAAGCATTTAGGGTTGTATGTGTACCATAGGATGTTGTAGTATACTAAAACCCATCAATGGTACCAGAGCCTATGATTTTTTTTCAATTATATTTGATGCAAATGTAATTTTCAAAGTTAAAAAAATCGATTTTCTGCCTCTTGGAGAGTGAAATCACCGAGTCCACTCAAAAAAAGTCCAACTCGACGAGTCTAGTTCATGTACTCGCCGAGTTGGTGCTCCAGTGGAAAGTTTTTCGAGTTTTTGGCCTGTTTTTTAATAGAATCATTACGACAAAATGTTTTAGTTCATAAAAATTGATTTTGTTGTTATAGTAATGATGATTCTCATCTAAATTAATAGATAATTGTCATAGTTTCAAGATTTGTATTTGTTTATATGATTAGGCTAATTTTTTAAATTTGTTTGATATGAATTATCTTAACTTATGAGTTTAATTAGGTCATAGACAAAATGTTTCATTTTATTAGTTAGAATTTTTGATGTAAATGTTTTTGATGAAATCCATAACTTGTCGTCAAGTTATGGAAAGTGAAAAGTCTCATTTTTAAATGTCATCATAAAATGGTTTTAAGTCTTCCATAACTTATCCTGAAGTTATCGAACTTGAAGGGTCTTTTACATAAATGTTTTATGAACTCCATACTTGTCCTCAAGTTATGGAATGTCAAGAGTATTTTAATAAAAACTATATTAAACTCATAAGTTATGGAAACAAATTTTTTTTTGAATAGTTCAAAACTTGCCCTCAAGTTTTGGAATTTGTAAATGCAAAGTCTCTCTTTGAAACATTTAGTTCCAAACCCTAGAATTTTAAAAGTTTAAAATCCAAACCTTATACTATTATAATACTATAGGTTTAATAGTTATATATATGTATAAAATCAAAGTCAGTCTTACCGTTAGTAGGCCTCATTCACGGAGCCGGTCTATAAGGGGGGTATAAGGTTACTGCATATAAAATGGAAGTTTAATGGGTGTCCACTCTCGCCCACCGCTTCCTTGAGTTGTGGAGGGTCGTTAGCTAAACAAGTTTTTCAGGACATTTAAATTCTCATTAAAAGTGTAATGAAATACTAAGTAACTAAACACTTATAAATTCCCAATTTTAGTTACTTAGAAAAATGTGAATTTGGTGCTAACCCATGAAATTACACTTTGCACCTCGTTAATTCGTTAATGGAGCGTGTGTGGTTAATCGGCACACTAATCTAGGACTGAAAGTACGTGACAAAGCGTAGCTTGATGTTAATCTTAGATCAATGGAGTGTGTGTGGTTAACCAGCACATTGATTAGGTGGTTGTAACATTGAGTGTACCAAGCTAATTTGCATGGTTATTCATACCTTGTTTGTGATCCTTGGCATCCCAGTCATAAACATGAAGGGCACAATCAAGATTTAAACGCACCATTGAAAAGTTCAATGAATCTCAAAGGATCTAGGAATTTCAATCCATTTAAAACTGAATTATCAATTTCGTTTTTCATGGTGGAAATTGGTAAATCTCAGTTTACCTAACTTCAAATATTTTGCAATCGGATTACGACATCCCTCTTTCAAATTGTAAAATATTGTGTTGGGTCCTAGCCTTAATATTTCATTTGGGTATTATATTAAGGACTTAAATCAACTTGAATTTCTCCCATAGTGGATGTCTAGTTCAGATAACTATTGTCTTCCCAAATCTTTTGGAACAAGCTTTCCTCTTCAAGATGATATTCCACAATATAATGCTTCATTTCCTCCACCTCCTCCAATTATTCTCTCTAACCCACAAGCTCGAAGACTTGAAAGGTTCAAGATCACTCAAGCCTTATTGGATAGCAAGCACAAGGATGGAAAGTCTGTGTGTGCACATGTCTTGGATATAAAGTCACACATTGACAGGCTAAGAATGTTGGGTGTCGTGTTCCCAAGGAAGTTGGCTATTGACTGGGTTCTTCAGTCACTTCCCGAGTCATCTAGTGAATTTGTTAAGGACTACTATGTGACATATCACGATATGACCCTTATTGATCGTACTTATTTGTTGATTGCTGCTGAATCAGCAATGATTTGGTGCAATGGTCAAGCAAATTTTTACTCTGATAACTAACAGACTATTTACAACATTTTTACTCTAATTGGGTCATATAAACCCATTTACATGCTTATTGGGCCATGTTTGGAAATTTATTCCTAATTGGGACTTATACGCCCATTTACTTCCTCATTGGGCCTTTACAACACATACTATGTTAATCGGGTCAATAATAATAAATATTTGACATTTTGATTATATATATATATATATATATATATATATATATATATATATATATATATATTTATCACCGATGCATTTTACCCAAAATACATACTCGAAACATTATTTAAAGCGGTAGATAATTTGATACACCATTCACGTAAATTTAGTTAAGGCCCTTGTGAGACACTCCTTCACTCATACCTACCTAGTGTACACTGTAAGTCCTGTAGTTATAACTACAGTCTCCTTGAGGGAGAGCGAGAATTTATGTATAGATCTATACGGGGATGACACCCCACACCTGAGCTGCTTGCTACAGCTAGACGGGCCAGTCTAGGGT